AAGAAAAAAGATACTAGAAAATCAGACCTGGAACAAGTCATTTAATTCGCAGTGAACACATAATACCCCATCGGCATCAGCATAGCATTCCGGACAGTATCTAACACGAGCAATATCCTCCTTCCTAGGATTGCCCATTGTCTTGTCAATTTCAAAAAGCTTAACAAGTAAAGATTCCCTTGAACTTTCCAATGAATCTAAACCACTCTGAATATAAATCTTCAAAGCAGTTATGCTGCGGAAACTGTACCAAATAACAATGTCGGAAAGTACATTATTAGCAAAATGATTGGCAAGAAAAAGATTGGCATTTCTACCTCCTGAGATAACAATTGAAAGGACACACTTGTAAACATGGAATACCTAAAAAAGAACAAAAGAAAGCTGATTTCTTTATGATTTTAATGATAAAAGAGGAAAGCTGATTTTCTTATGAGGAGCCACTAACGGGTCCCCAATCCCAAAACCACAAGAAAACACTAGAAAGGAGCGAAAAGGAGCATTCAGAGATCACGAATATTATATATGCCCAAAAGTATGATCAACGCCGTTTTTTAGCTGAAAAACGTAGAAGACCCACTTCATGTTCAAAAGCTATAAACTACTCATTCTCTAAAGAAAGTATATGGTAGATTACGCATTTCTATAGTATTAATAAAAATACATACAATAGTAGGATGCTTTTCTATGATATACCTCATTGACAATACATCAAGATGGTGCCAAAATCTACAGTGTTCAGAATTTACCTTCTAAAAAGATTTTTTCATAAAGGTATTGAGCTTCTAAAAAATCAGATCAACTATCTATACGAAAGTGGATTTTTTTTTTCTTTCTTCAAAAGTATAAGCTTGATTTTCTATGCCGGCCTAAGATCCAAACATACTATAATTTCCTTGAATAGCATAACTCTCATCTTCTATGGTTTTCAAAAGAGTTAAGTAGNTTTTTCAAAATTTCGGCAGAGTTTCAGAATTTTCTAAATACCTACCTACTCCTATTTTTTTTTTTTTTTTTTTTTTTTTTTTTTGATAGGTAAAGCAAGAGGACTTCTTAGAACAGAAGAAGATATGGAATACAAAGTTGCATTTATTACATGGTTAGTAATTAAGGAAGCATGTCTAACACAAGAAAAATTTGCAGAAAGCATCCAATTATGTTGCAAGGTGCTATCAATGTGGAGAAGAGGCAGAAAACTATTGGACCACTATTCTTGCACTGTCATATTACAAACCAGCTGCAAAAACTATTTCTAAACACAGTGGGAATTTATTGGGTGATGCCTAATAAAACTTGTGAACTGCTGAGTTGCTGGAACAGGTCAGGGATGACTAAAAGATAAATAAAATGTCGGAATACCATCTCTGCATGCATATGGTGGACAATTTGGAAAGGAAGGAACTCAAGACGTTTCGAAGACAAACCAAGCTCCAGCCAAAAGATCAAAATGAATTGTGTTTTGTTATTTTTGTTTTGGCGTAAATATGTAGATGATGCTGAATCAATGTTAGTATAATGCCCTACAGGAGTAGGTTAGGGATACAGTCTGAAATTTTTGGTATTTGGCTACAGATGTACATACTTTTGCAGCAAATAAACCATTGCCTCTCCGCCTCACTTCTCTGTCTAACCAACCACTTCGTTGCTCCTCTTCCTTCTCCCCTACCTTACCCCACGGAATAGGTCTACATTTAACATAACAAACATGGTGCAACAGAAACTCGTCCATATATGATATATTCAAACTTCTTGAAGATTCAGAAGGCTGCTTTTACATTCAAACAGCGTGATTTCTCCTTCATTTTTCAGCTGAAACTCATTCGTTGCTCACAAATTTCTCCATTGAGGTTTGTCTCTGATCACTCCATCCCATACCTACACCTACAAGGGCCTTCACTAGAAAGTTAAACAAAGGAGCTACAAGCGCTTGGAGGCAGAGAGTGTGAGGCATTCTTTTCTCCATTGGGCAGTTCCAGCAGATATGTGGAGAATGTTCCTCTCAATTTTTGGACTAGCCTAGGTCATGCCTAATAGTAATAAAGATGCCTATGAAAGCTGGTGTTCATGGAGAGTTGGCAAATCTATCAAAAGAACTTGGCTTTTGGTACCTGCTTCTATTTTTTGGTGCATCTGGACTGAAAGGAGTAACAGATGTTTTGATGGGATATCAACTCCAAACCATATTCTTAAAGCTAAATGTTTATTTAATCTTTTTACTTGGCTCAATCAGGCACCTGTATCTAGTTGTGATCATTTTTTGGACTGTGTCTGCTCCTTAGTTTTAACATAGGTTTTTTGTTGTTGTTCATGAGCGGTCACACTCTATTTACTTGTATTCTCTTTTTATATGCATCTTCTTGATCCTTTAACGAAAGTCTCTTACTTAATTAAAAAAAGGGAGCTACAAGCGCTTGGATTGTTCTTGATGAAGGGGGGAACTTTTAATGACCCTTTGGAAAGTCCACTTCATGCTATACAATTTTAGAGTGGAGGGAAGATCATGAATTGGGGCAAGGAAGCACACAAGAATGCCTTGAACAGCTTCTGGAAGCTGCCCAGATTCGTGGAGATGAAAGGCCCTTGTCCCAGCTTCGTAGAGATGAAAGGCCTTCGTCCCAGGTTTGGGGAGATGAAATGCCTTCATGGAGTCGAGCAGAAGCCACCAGTGAAGAGACCGCCCCTCCACGAATGGCGACCATGGAGACAAAAGGAAGCGGGAATCTTCCCAGACCGTGAAGACGAAGGGCATTCGAGGAGTCAAATGGAGCCTGGACGGAACCAACATTTAATGACATTTTAAGCCCTTTCAGTGGTTATTTTGGGCAACTAGTGTAATAGTTAGTTAGAGTATAAATACTCTTAAGATCTGTTCATATTTTCACTAAAGCTTTTGATGAATATTGATATCAAGTTTTGGTTATGAACACTGGTGAGTATTTTCTTAGATTCTCTCTTAATTGCTTCTATGACTTGCCCTGGGATTTGCAAGAGTTCCAATCTCTTGAGGATCCTAATAGCTATGCTACTCGGACTCTCCAAAAGTGCTGCTGCACCCGTGTCGGATCCTCCAAAAATGCACTAAATTTGGAGGATCCAACACGCACCCAACAACATTTTTGAAGAGTCCGAGTAACATAGCCTAATAGTATAGGTGCTTTGTTTGATTTTGCTAGAGGTGATTAAGGTTGTTTAATTCTAGTTATTGCTAGTTTCTTATCAAACTTTGCGTCTATCTTCTATCCCTTTAATTGCTTTCCATTAATTTCTTGTTCCTGTGTTGAATTGTTATCACATTCTCTTAGTTTGGGTTCAAGAGTAATTGGCTATAGAGGAGAAATGATCTGAGAAATTCCCGTTGCCTTTGACTACATGTGCACCAAGTTCGAGAACTTGGATAACTATAAGTCCTTCTCCTTATACTTTTTTTTGAATTGATAACGTTAGTATATATTAATAAAGTCAGTACATAGGTTGTACTGGGAACCATATTTACAGGTAAATGCTAGTTGGATGTGCTAGTGTGCAGTCCTAGCAAGATCCTAGTATGTCTAGGATTGACAGTGTATCTTCTGTGTAAATCTGTTTACACCAAAAACAAAAAAGAAGAATACAATTGAGTTTGATCTTCTGCACTGAGTTGCTTCTGTCTTCAAAACATCTAGCATTCCTTTCTTTCCAAACTGTCCACCAGATGCATGCTGGAACAGTCCTCCATCTATCTCTGTTAGTTGCTTCAGCTCCAGCTTCTTCCCAACTAAAAAGAACTTCTGTAATCCTGCAGGGCATTGTCCATGAAATACCCCTTAGACTAATAAAAAAATTTCATAGTTGGTCTGTTATCTTGCAGTGTATAAATAGATGGCTAACTGTCTCCGCATTTTCCCCACATAAAAAGCATCTTGAACACAAAGAGATTCCTCTCTTTATGAGATTATCCTGGGTTAAGACAACCTCATTTGCTAGTAGCCAAGTGAAACAAGCTACCTTATAGGGAATCTTGGTTCTCCATATATGCTTCCATGGCCAATCATTTATCTGTAGATCACTTTGATTCAAAATCTTATATGCTGCCTTCACCTGATAGACCCCTCTATTGTGCCTCTGCCACCCAAGTGAGTCCACCCCTTCTTGTATTCCTTTGAATGCTTCCAACTTGTTGTAGAGGTCAGTTAATCTTGCTATCTCCCAATCATAAAACAGTCTTCTAAGGGTGAGTTCCCATCCTTGAGAAGTCCACATTTCAGCTACTGTCTTCTGT